TTAATTAAAGAAACTAGAAGCACTTTTATCGTTCTTCAAATAGAATATCAGGAATTATCTTTCGATCTACCTTTCAACCAGTAATTATCACAGTTTTTCATTAGTTTTAAAAGTACAATTAATTAGACTTAATTAATAATTTTCAGATACTGATCGAGCTTCGTTCTTTTGCTAAAAGACAACTTTCTACAATATTCAATTCTCTACAAACTCACATTAATTCGAATTCTGAATGCAATGGTTTTTTTCAGTTTTACGCTACCCACGGAACGAACATTATTCAGGAACTCATTTGCGCTGGAAATACACACTTTCTACTAAAGAATTTAATAAGAAACTGATAAGAACAATAGAAGAATTTCGATTGATTCTAGTTAAACTGTTATCGACTTCTCATAACATTCTTATAAGGGTCTTATAAGGTCGTTGGGAAATTCTTAACGTATCTTGGCGAATCTTGTATACGAGTTTAAAAAGATTTGAATAAGAGCCCTAAAAGAATCTTATGCAAGCCAGGTAAGATACTTACTAGTTTCCTCCTCAATTCTTGTGCGATTCTTATATAAGAATCGACTTCTAGGGGTATTCTTTTGATAATCTTCTACCAGAGATCCTAGATGCGTGAGTGATGCAAATCATGGTCACAGACTCTGCTTTGCACATCTTGTTAACAGAACTCCTTCTGCGTGTAAAAGAAGAGTTATCGTGACGATCTGTCAATAATGTCGAATTTCATTATTCATTATTATTATTTCAATATTCATCTGATATTTGATTATTTACAAACATGAAGAAAACACTTTCGATCAAAATTCCGGTACAGTTCAAACTGAGTACATAAAAGTTTGCCTTTTTACTGTTTATTCGCTTCATATTCTTCTCGCTGTCTTTTGTCACGCTGTTAAATGTAGTTCTCGATACGCAGTAGAATCTAAGATATTATATCATCAGCGCTTCAAGTAATTGTAAACTAAATTTGGTGCAATAGCCGAGCGATCTTTTAAAGAGAACTTATCCAGAAGGACATTATTTATGTATCGGCAAAGGAAACAAAAACTGAGTACTCTATCATTGATGACTTATTTCCTGTATAATTCAGATACTATTCAGTATCTGTACCTATACTATATTAGAATTCAGATTAGTAGTATCTATACTAGAATTCAGATTATATGTTTTGAAACGTGTTGGTAATCTTCGTCATTTCAGACATCAGACCTCGAGGTTCTGTCTCAACAGTCTAACTAAGAACCATTAGACAATAAGGAAAAAACTGATTTTTCTTCATATAAGTTAGGCTATTACAATCATAACTGATTTTTCACTTGAGTCATAGCACTACTGGCACTCAGTAAGGTGTCAGAACAACTAAATTCATTTTAATAAAAACTCTTTAACATATTTGTTCCAAAATGGTTGAAACCGATTTTGGGATTTCAGTATCAATATGGAGAAAGGGCGCTTTATTAACAACCAAAAGGCAGTTTTTCGAACTTTTAATCTTCTCTACAAAGTTACAGAACTTACAAGAGAAGTCCTAAATGTTCATTGTCAGCTCAAAGAAATAAGAACAAAATTAATTTAGAGTTTTTCTTGTAAATTCTATAACTTTGCAAAGAAAGGTCGTGTAGAACTGGGAGATATCTCATTTTAATCAGAAATGTGCAGGCTACAATCAGACCGTATTAAGAAAGATTTAGGTTACTTTTTAGAGTTTCTGGAAAACTGGTTTTTCAAAAACCGGGATTTCTGGAGGTCCGTACACAAAAATCATTGTGATATTCGGAATCAGTACCTTTGATTATCTATAGTCCACTAAGATTTAGTCCAAAAGCGGTGGGACAGTTGAGAGTCTTCCCTCGTAAGCTCTTATAACCCTGAGCGTTTCGCCCCACAATTCAGCTATAGCTCCATAAAACGAATTAGGTCACGCTTATCCTGTACCCGCAGGTTTGTGTATCGCGGTGGACCTTTCTTGTTTTTTTCAAAAAAGAACGTTTTCTTTTAATAGCTATTTATTTTGTAATTTTTAAACAAAAATAAAACATTACATAATTACATTGCATTGTAAAAAAAAGCAATCAACTTTTAAAGTGGTATTTCAGAAACTGTTTTCGATCCACGATCATGTCCACGTTTACTATTATTGTTGACAGCGATTGATGCTGTCGGTTCCGCTGTTGCTGATGTTGTACGTGATCAAATCCATTTTAATGGTTTAAAATTATGTGTTATATTATTCATTATAGAATGAGTACATGGTTTCTTCTCATTGACATTATAACTGTTATGGCGAGCATCCTGTAGTCAATACAAAATGTAATGCGTAAAGAAAAAATCTATATTCTTCTTATATACTTACTAAAAGACTGATTTAATCTAATTTTCTTGTCAAGTCATCATTAGTCGATACAATCCCAAAGAAGAAATATATACATAGGATAAAGAGATCGATAGCCGATTTCTTCCTTATGTCACTCTCCTTTTTGGTCCTTTTTCTACCATGGGACGAATTTGGTACATACATCATAACAAACAAAGCTACAAATGTCCCTTCTAATGCTTGTGCAGTGACTTCTGTCGGTTTGTAAAAGGATCCGCGTTTTTATACTCAATTTTCAGTTAATATTTTATTTTAGATAAAAAATCCTACGGAAACTCTTTTTCTACATGACTCAATATAGCTGGTCGAGCTGATTAAGAATACATTTAAGAGAGTGATTAGAAAACAAAGAAAGTGGCTGTTCAGTTCAATACTGACTTCTCACCAGTTGTTATGGACATCTTATGTAGAAAAGGCAAATTTTTCTAAGAATACATGTAAAAGACTCTTGAAAGCTTTTAGAATGCTTTGTCTTTCGTTTACCATATTTACATTTTTCTTTCAATTCTTTCTGTTGTTTAGTCAAGAATCAAAACACGAGCAATACGACGAAAATAATTTATTTGATGTCATAAAAAATGTAAAAGTAGCTTTGGATTACGACCAGTTATGCGATTGCGCGATGCCATACAAGTAGAACATTTGAATTATTTTTACAGTGAAGAAGCTTATCGAGTAAGGCAAATGTTAGTGAGCTCGTGTTCGGTTCACTCGTACACCACGATACGAGAAAGAAGATTTGATACATAGTATGTACCAAATCTGTCAGATCTCAGGTGTATGTAATACATACACCTCACGATATTTAGGGAGATATTGCGATAAAATCGATATCTCAATAAAGTGTGATCTTTCTCGCATTGTGATATATCAATGAGTTATCATTAATGCAATGAACAATTCCAGTGTTACAAAAAACAATATTAAAATATTATCCAACTAAACCGCTTCTGAAAAAACATTTATAAATACCGGCGTAATCAATAGGCAAAACATCTACAATGAAGTTACAGACAGAGTATTTCAAATAATCCACATTTTATCACTGCACGGCGTGGCCAGCTAACTCTGCTGCCATAACGAAATTCCATAACTGCTTTTCGTCATTTGATTTCGCCTACAGTTGCTAAACTGTCTGCCACAGAGTGTCGTGGAACATCTTAAGTTGAAGAGAAAAGACAGGTAACATTTTAAGATGTTTTTCAGCCTTACGACATATATCGTTAAGAAGTTGTAACCTAAACATCGAACACTAGTTTTTAATTTTTTCGAATTTAATTTTTGCAAAACTAGTGTCCTGCGATTGCTTTAAATACTTGTTTCTATCGATGTTTATTGTGATTCACGTATTTTCTGTAGTGGTTTTGCTTAAATCTGTTTTGATTATATAATTTTGAAATATAAATAAAGACTTGTCTAAAAATACAAATTGCGTGAGAGGTATTTATTTTAACAGTTTGTAGACTTACTATTGAAATCGATTGTTGCTTGTTTTGCGTGTTGTGGTGAGTACTCGACCGGTGCACATGAAAAGACATGTAAGAATAGTGGATACTTGTAAATTTGTTCTGTACCGTCGATAGTCTAAAGTGAAAGACATAAGCTTTTGCACCAGATTCTTCAAAATCAAAACCACTATAATTACTCTAAATTTAGTTTCGGATTTTATTTGTGATCATTAAAGTTTCAATTTTTCCTACTTCTTTCAATGGTGATCTACATACAATCTTCGATTTCATCATATAATACATATAACAAGAGCGAACTTAGGAAAAGAAGAAAAATTTTCTATGTTAAAAATCAAATCTACTATTTCATACATTTATACACCTATTAGTCTTGGTGCCTATTGTAAAAATTTTCGTCTTTACATTTATCACTGCTGACAACTCAACCGATGCATATTTATCACCAAGGTACTAAAAGGCCAAGCAGTGATGCAAAGAGATTTTTCATAGGGGAGGTTTTCTACGTCAAGTTACCAAGTTAAACCTAAGTTTCAGTTTCGAGATTTCTTTTTTCTTATTTTAGGATATAATAATCGTATTGGAACACGTTTTGGTAAGTATAAGCGGTGTTCCCGCACTCACCTATACGTCGTTATATATCAAGGTTGTTTATATTTCTCCTTGATTTTAATAGTATAAAATAGGAACTGTGCAACAAAAAATGTGCCTACTGTACGCGTGGAAAAAAACAAAAAACGAATAATCTTTACTCTCACGTACTAAATATATGTGTACTGACAAAAAAAATGGAAACAATCTAAATATGTATTGACGAAAACTTCTTGAATATAAAGAAAGGAAATGTACTGAAACATCTCTAGATGTATATGATATAACAACGAAAAAAGAAAAAGGAAAAACGGAAGACCTCGGTTTAGAACTATTCAAACGGTATGTGTAAGGCTCTAGTCTGTAACAATCCTCCCCACAAATAAAAGTGTGTGTCCTTACACACTAAACTGCTAAAAAACAAGAAGACAGAAAACTGAAAATCTCAAAACGTTCACGGGTAGTTGACTAAATAGAAAAATCTGACTGATCGTAACGATTAACGATGGAAAAAAACACTGTCATAATATTTGGACATGTTGTATATCACTTCGTGATTATTATTGCGGATATAAACGATAATAGTGTGATTCGGTAAAGATATTATCATGTAACATTTGTTCCAACTGCGCTCGACTACGTTCATCTTTCATGCCAATGAATAGTGTGTGTCCAACTATATTAAAATTGACGTAACGAATGTTTATGGATCGAACTATACGTTTAACTTTTGTGACACTAAATTTATGATAAATTGAACGAATTACTTCATGTTCATATCTGCGGGCTCGACGTCGACGGTTTTTTTGTTGATTATATTGTTCGTGACTGCCCGGAGAACGACGTTGTTCTATACGAACAGTTCGTTGAGGTGTTACTAAATCATTATGCGTTGCCGAAGGTTTATGTTGTGGAAAGACATTTTGGTCTTCTTCATCATCAGAAATAGGTTCGTATTGTATGGCGACGGTTCGGTTAGTCCATCTTGTACATGGACTACTAACTCATCATGCACTTCGAGTGGTACTGGAGAATGAAAGAGCGGTTTATCTTGTGCACGAACCGGTATCTATCCCATATCTTCATCATCCGAAATAGCTTCATATTGTGATTTTGATTATAATGCTGCTAATTTTGTTGATTGCAATGATGTTTCGTAATTTGCACTTGTTCTGGTGTCTAGTCATATAAGGCGGGAAAACTGAATACCTTCAACAACGGAATCAAAATACGACATTTATTATGAAAATGTTTGCAGTCTAATCTATCCTTATTGATTCATATTAGTGATATGTGCGTTTTGGGTATTATTCTATGTAAGTTAGTTGTCTTTCATACAAATGGCTCTTCAGAACAAAATTTTGCTTGTGGTTCTTGCAGTAACTTAAAAGATGGTGTCGCCAAGAAGCTATTGACACCACTAACAGGTGTCAGCTAGAGCTGTCCAGTGTGCCAAAACTCAGTCTAATTGGTGTCAATTAAAGCTATTCCCACCTCTACGCACAGTACTATGTCAGAAGGTGTCAATAAGCGTGACACGTCTGTTCCATGAATGACGCTTCCGCGAATTTTCAAAATCAGATGGTAAGAAAAGGAAATTTTAGAAAATAAACAAAACAACTGGTGTTACTGGAACTACTCATCGTAACACTTTTAATATAGCTTCATCTTAAATTAATTACATGACTCATAAGTACTTGAAAAACTGAAGCAAGATCACACAATGTCGCACATATCGCTTGTGTGATACTACATTTCGAACTTACTCTGATACACACACCACGCCCACCACACACTACTAAAAATATTCAAATTTATTTTATGAAAAATTCGCTGAAGAGTGGGCGTCTTAGTTGTGTAACTGACAGCTTCTAACACAGTACTACGCTTAATGGTGTCAATAGCTCCAGTTGACACCCGTCAGTGGTGTCAATAGCCAGTCCGAACTTAAAATTACACCGGGCGAACGACACTATCATAAAATCATCTATAATACCGTTGGAATCTATCTGCATAAACAGCTACTTATCCCCATCAATGACTCTAGCTGCAAGCAAAATATGAACAAGAAACCTTTGAATCATTTGTCAAGATTCTTTGTTTAATCAATACAATCATGCTTTCTTCTCTTATGTTTCTTATGCATGACGCCAACTGCTTTTCTTTGCTCACATTGCTTTAATTACAGAAACAACATACACTTTAACTTTGCGTTACATTAAATACATAAAAATTATATATACATTATATTATACATTATATATATAAAAAAATTTTATTTGTGCAGTTTTCACCTTCTACTGTCAAATTTCATAGCAAACATAATAAGCATCGTCACGATTATTAACGTCGTAGTATGAAAGGTAAAGAACAACGCTAAAATACACACGCATCAAGAGTAAGATTACGGCGAGAACTCACGAGGAACACTATTCTACTGTAACACTCCTTTTTCAATCGTCCATACCTCGATCGACGGAGGGTATCGGGATAGTAAAAAGCCTAAAGGGTTCGCGCCCATGGCTCTTTAAGGTCCGATTTTCTGAAAAACCAGTTTTCCAGAAACTACGAAAAATAACCAAAACTTTTCTTAATGAAGCATGGTTGTAGTCCGCAAATTTCTGATTAAAAATGAGACATCTTCCAGCTCTTCGCGACCTTTCTTTACAAAGTTATAGAATTTACACGAAAAGCCCTAAATTAATTTCTTCTTATTTCTGTAGCTTTGAGCTGGCAATGACCGTTTAGGGTCTTCTTGTAAATTCGATAACTTTGTAAAGAAAGGTCGCGAAGAGCTGGGAGATGTCTCATTTTAATCAGAAATTTGTGGACTACAATCATGCCTGA